GGCGGCTGATAGGGCAAGCAATCGTGGTACTCCAAACCACTCCACATAAGCTCCTTCCCCAGAGTGCAGGACCTCCCTCACCTCTGGCGTTGGCACATGGAGACATGGAAGTTTATTTGTTTATTTATTAAACACTACTGGTGCTTCCTCTGAGCCCACCCTGCATTAAAGTCCAGGCCATTTGAGATGACTGAGATGGCAACCCTGGCTTCAGAGGCATTCACAGGCCAGGGGAAAGAAGTAGATGCTTTCATACACAATTTAAGCCAAATAGGAGTGTGCATGTGCATTTATAAGTGATACTCACCTACACACGCATCCACATGCACAGAGAAAAGTGAGAGACATGGAGAGAAACAGAAAAAGAGTTTGAGCTGAGAAAAATATGTGCAAAGTTAATGAATTCCCCGAAAAAGGAATTTCAACCAATCTCAGACCACAGACTAGGATGTTAAGCGGTTAATAATTATAGTTATTGTATAGTCTGTGACTTTTACATACCACAAATTAAGCTGTTTCTAAGCACTATCATCACAACAAATTGAGGCTCAAACAGTTAAACTTACACAAGATCATCTGTTAAGAAGTGATAGAGCTAGGATTGGAACCCGGGTTTCTCTGACAACTATGTCTAAGCTTTGCTTTCTATTGCAGAGGAGACAAGTCTAAAAATATCTACGTCAAGAAATGCCTTCACTAAGCAAACGCCATTGACTATTTAGCTCATGTCTCACAGCTAGGCTCTTAGATAGGGCAGAGCCATGGTGGGGCTCCAGCTCTCAGGACCCATGGACCATCCCTGGAGTCAGGTAAGGAAACACACACATGCCAGGGAGACAGGCACTGTCATCTGGCATTGACCAGCCCAGAAGATGCCTAGGAAAGCCCATGTCCAAGTCTGACCACACCTTGAGTAACAATAGAAATTAAGCAGAGACAGATGCCCTTCTAATCAGAACACAGGGTCCAGGGCAGAGAAAGGGCATGTTCCAGCCCAGAAACCACAGGTGATTCAGGGTGACTGCCAGTCAGAGTACAGCCTCGGACGTATAGCATTGCTGAGGGATTCTTGACATTTGTGTTTCAGCTAACGAAATAATTCTGTCATACGCCTAGGAAACACGTTACTTGCCCACGACACTAAAGCACAATTCATCAAACAATTCCATGCCACTTATGCCTCCACCAGAAATTCTGCAATGTGTAATCTTGAACACTCAAGGATGACTTTTTACTGTGTGGGCAGAACGAAGCTGCTGCTCCAAGCAAGAACACTGGTACCACAGACAAAAGCAAGGCCTTCCTCCCTCACTATAGCCCCATGCCCTTCATACCCAGCAGCCTGGACCTTCATGCTGCTGTGGGCAGGACCACAGGGGTGCCCAGGTCACTTGGAGGTACAGCTCATCTTCCCAGGAACCTGAGAGCTGCTTTTACGCCCAAAGGAAAGTTGCGGGCACAGACATGGTGATACTGATTCTCACTACAAGGTTGCATGCTTTAGTTGAAGTTCTTGGCAGGTCAGGTACTCGCTCTCAGATTCCCTTTCTTCACATACAAAATGGGCTAACAGTGGCTGTGCGTGCGTTGTAAGCGTTAGGACAGCCCGCAGTAACCAGTAAGCACTGCACTTGGTACACACGAAGGAGGGTTCCCTACGTGCAATTACTACAACTGCACTATCATCCTTACCCTTCTAACCCAGGCTCTCCTCTCCCTATTACCAGAGCTGCTTTTGTAAACTTATTCTCCCTGCACCATCTTCCTTACCTGTGTCACCATCACTTAGAATTCTGCTTTGGACAAATTCTGTCTGCTGTCATTCTTTTAAAATTTCCACCTAAAAAATGTTTTTTTTCCAACTGGATCAAAAGTTCATCAAAGAAGGATTAGGGTAGAAAGGGCCAGAGGGGGGCTGGGGATTTAGCTCAGCGGCAAAGCGCCTGCCTGGCAAGCGCAAGGTCTTGAGTTCGGTTCCCTGTACCGGAGAAAAACCAAAAAAAAAAAAAAAACAAAAAAGAAAGGGCCAGAGGATGGTCTGCTGGTATCTGCTCAGAAGTTTCCAGAGAACTGGTCTGGGCACACATGTAAGCATTACAAAAAAGGATGATCTGTACTCAAGGATTGTCCTAAACAACCTCTATGCCTGAACATTGAGAATTGAAAAGTGACCGTGTACCAGATCCTTGAGATCATGAGACCCATGCCCTTCTGCCAGATTTAGCACAAATCTTCAGGTACCTGCCTAGATTGCATGATTCTCTTTACCTTGAGTAAGACATGTCTTTCTCAACGCTAGAGATTTCTTGGATCCAAAATATCATCCCAGCCTTGTTCATAGAGCATATGCATGCAGTCTGATGTGTTCAAGGAATTTATTCTGTCTTTTTTAAACAGCCCAGCTATGGGGGCGGGTTATGAAGAGAAAGGGTTATAACTGGCCAGTATATTATTTCTGAAATTGGGAATATGTTTGCAAGGAAAATGCACCGATCATATAAAAGCCCCAAACTATTTTCTGAGATTAGTTACAGGATCTCCTACAGCAAGAACCAAGAAAATAAAGGCAGAGCATGCTCTGCATCACAAACATGGCATCTTATCCCAGCCTAAAGCTGGGATGGCATACTTTGGAAGAGCTGTCCAGAAGACACATTCAACTCTGCCAACCAGCTTGGTGCCATGTCTCCAATTTTCTTCTGTACATTGATAAAGAAATATATGGAAGAAAAAAAAAACTATTTTTATTCAATCTCTTTCACATGTTTTCCTGAGTTCACTTATTTATTTATTTTTTGTGATGGGAATAATGATATGAACCTTAAAAATGCCAAAATTGGAGGCAGGGTGCATTATATCAAAAGCATATAGCTTTATTATCGGAAAACATTCTTAAGAGACTATATGATTTAGAAATGCAAAATATAACTGCATTTTAATAAAGAAAGTCAGTCCTGTAAATACCAATGAAGGTGTCATAATAAAATGTCTCTGTTGTGATCAAACACGGGTTTATCTTTAAAAATGCAGCAAAAGACGCTCTTTGCAGCCTCCCAGTGGCCGGAAGGCGGAAGGAGAGAACGGACAGGAGGAATTCAGACAGTGAACACTCAGGCAGAGCCGATGAACTTTTTACACTAGAAAGACAAATGGCTGGTCTTAACCATGAAATTGATGCAGTCTAACAGAGGAAAATGAATGATGCTGGTTAAAATGCACGTAATTATTCACAAAAAGTGCATCAAGAGCCTGGCATTTTTTCATTTTTAACATTTTCTTCCTCTTCTCTTCTCACCTTCCCCTCCCTTCAGACCTAAGAGCTCAGCAATGTGTCACACACGCAGAGTTCTCCTCTCCGGTGACTTCTCCCGTGGTCTTCACCTGCGTCACGCTCTCTTCCTGCCTGGAGAATCCACTTATAAACATACTACTTGTTCTGCTACAAAGTGACGGAAAATCGCACCCTCCCCCCACGTAATTACAACGTATGTCATTAGAGAAAGAGTGCAAAGGGTTTAAAAACGCCTTCTTTTTTATTCTGTTTTCACCAAAACAGTCTCTCAGATTGATCTTTTTTTGTAACAGGGACTCCTTCACCACCCGGATGTTAAAACATTTACCTAACGAGTCTTCCCTTTGTCTTTCAAAAAAGAAGAAGAAAACAAACTGCCTGTCAACCTGGAGAAAAAGGCTAGAACAAAACAAGATACCTGCGCACAAAATCTTCAGAATTATGTCACCAATACTATATGTGCAAATACTACAAACAGAAACTCCTCTGTTCTTGCAACTCCCGAGTGACAGAGGAGGTAGTTCCTGAAGCCCAGAAAAGACCTCTAGATCTTCGCGCTCACCGGCAGTAACTCCGTCTGCTGTGCATACCCTAGCCTCGCTACTGATAAGCTATAGTTCAAAGCCAGCCTCCAAATCAGGTCTTACCGGCAGCTGTTTGCTGACCGGTGCAAACCCCTCTCTCTCAGGTGATCTCCAGCCAAGATTCCAAGGACCTTCCTTATTGTCACCTTGCAGATCTAGCCACAGCCCAGAAACCAAACGCATGCCCTCCTGTCAGCAGCGCAGAGAATCAACAAGTTATCACTGGGCCGAGCGCTCTGCCTCGATCTGCTACAACCTCCCCTGCACCGCCCCACCACCACCCACCTTCACCAGGCCCTCTCTCCCGAAGCCTCCTCATCCCCAGCTGGCACGTGATTTCTGTTTCACACCCGCCCTCCAGGCACCCTCACCCAGGCGCTCCTCCCTGCGCTCAGACAGCTGTCAAAGTCCACGGATCTCCTGCTTCTAAGCTCGCCGAATACAACGGGCGTTCGCTGGGATGTAGCTTTTTTCTGGGCGGGAGGGCAGGGAGGTCAGAATCTTCAAACCCATGGGGTGAACGAGGTGGGGTGCAGGCTCGGGACCTCAGGAGCCCCAGCAGAGGCGGAGAGGCAGTGGGGAGCATCGCATCTTCCACTTTTTCCAGACTCTGACGCCCACCAGCAGGGCGGGCGTTCCCAGGGGAGCTGGAGCTGTCCTGGGGGAGCTAACGGAGTGCCAGGCGGTGCTTCCCTGTAGCCTGCAAGTTTCCTCTCCATCCTCGAGCTTGGGGACCAGTCACAGCTCGGCGAGCTCCTTGGGCGACACTGCCTTGAACCTTCCCCTGGGGCACGAGAGACACCTGCCCTTCCTCCCCGCGGCCGCGCCAGCCCTCTCCCGCTGCCCTTGGGCCGCAGTCCGCCACATGCTCACCCGGACAAAGACCGCCCCCAAAGTTGTCTGGACTCCCCAGACCTCGCTTTCCCCTCGGTCCCTGGACCCCGCCCAGGGGCAGGGCCCGATACCTCGAGCGCTCAATTCGGGATCCGTGGGCGCGCGGAGGCCGGAGCAGCTGCGGCGAGGGTGGGCGGGCAGTTCCAGCGCGAGCCGGGGTCTCGGCCGTCTGCACCCTCACACCGCCCTGCCCGCCTCCTGCGAGAGGAGGAAACTTCCCCAGCACCCACCTTTGGCCGCAAGGAGGCGGCGCCGCCGGCTGTCCCCGCTGCCGCCGCCGCTCCCCACGCCCAGCGCCAGCAGGAGCTGCACCCAGCACAGCCTCCCGGGCAGCATCCTCGCCGCCGAAGCCGCCTTCGAGCTGCCGCCGCCACCTACTGCCCGCGCCGGCTGTCGCCTCCGGATGTCCCCGCGCCGCGGGTTTTCCTCGGCGCCCGCAGGGTGCGCCTCGGTGCCCTCTCCGTCGCCGCCGCGCCCGGCCTCCGGTGCCCTCCGCCGCGCCGCGCGCTCGCCAGCAGCAGCCGCGCTCACTGGCGCGGACCCTGAGCGGCTCCGGAGCTCGCCCCGAGACGGTCCGTGACGTCAAGGAGGGAGGGAGGTGGCTCGTGCATATTCATGAGACGCGGACACCGCGCCGGGCTCCGCGCTCCGCTCCGGGCGGCTCAAGCCCCCAACTTTGCACCCCCACTCACCACGCCGGCGCGCTCCAGTCCTCCCGCCCAGTCCAGAGCTGGCGTCCAGAGGAGTCTCCTGGGCGGCTTCGGGCAGCCCTCCGGCCCGATCGCCCTTTTTCAGCTCTCCAAACAGCGGCTGCAAAGGGGACGGGCTGCCCTAGAAAGTACGCCGGGGCCTGAGGGTCGTCTGCGGGGGTCGGAGGGCACCCGGCCCTGCTCTGCCCACCCTTTGAATTGAGATCCGGAGGAAGAGGACCGGCGGGTGTTGCTCTGAGTTCTACCCTTGGCTAGGTCAGTGGACGCTCTCCGCAGCCTGGTCTGGGGAGGGCGCCAGGCGCACACTGGTGCTGAAAAGCGCAAGAACTGCTAGGAGTTGTGGCGCAGCGCAGAGCACTTTGGACCTGGATGGCAGTGGGCAGGCTCTGCGCCTTCGCGGAGAGACAGGCCAGATAGTGTTCCCAGAGGCGATGGACCCGCTAAATCAGAAAAGGCAAACTTGGGTCTGCAAGTTGGGACCACACTGAAACTTCCTCCCAAGGAGTTAACACCTTTCTGTTCTCACTGCATCTCCATCCAAGTGCAGAGCGCTTAACGTCAGGCCTTGTGAGTAAATCTTATGCCAGACAGTACTGTCAGATCTCCGAGTACAGGGACCGGGCACATCTTGGCATCCTCAACCACCGCTAGCCACAGAAAGATCCTAAAGGTGCTCAATAAACATTAACTAATGCCTCAGAATAAATCCTTGACCATATTTACAAATACGTAGCACCAGTGACACAATTCAAGGTTCGTAAGAAGTAGTTCTTGCCCCGACAGTAAGCACTGGATGAGTGGGCATTGGAGATACTCAACTCAGAGTCTGTGTTCTCCCTCTGGGAAGCAAGAGAGGGCAGTAAAAGCAATTACAATTCCTTGTAAATGTAATGGTTCTGCATATTCTTTATGTTGCGAGATGCCAGCCTATACAAATCAATTAACAAAATGTATGCATTGCAACAGTGACTCAGCAGCGTCCTATAATTAATAAGTGTACTGTGGGGTACTCAACAAAGCCATAAAATCTATTAACAGCCCTAGTATTGCTCAGCCTCCTGTGCTACCCTGGAAGCACTCCCAAAGCCTGCAGTTACAAAAGCAGACTTCAGCGTTTCAGGCAACAACAGGTGCTTAAGGACAACCACAAAGCACGGTGGCTGTAGGACCAGGAGAGATTCATCACTCAGGTTTCCTTTAACCTACAAGTCAATATCTAGGCTATATTCTTATCTCACACCTGAGGAGTTGGAGGCTGGACAATATTAGGTCGCTTCTTTGCACAAGGTCAAAGAGCTAGCAAGTGCCCCAGGCCAACACAGAGACCTAGCCTTATTTGGATTTTGTTACCAGAATCCAAAAAGTGTGGCATGAACTTGACACAGATAAAATCCGGGAGCCACCAAAAGGAGGACTGTAGATTCGACTCATGTGCTTCCATTTATGCTCATCCAACTCCCTCTCTGCTCCGCCTTGATTTTCTCTAAGAAGTACACCTGCCTTACTGACTCACCTCTACTGTCCCCGATGGCATTAAACTGGGGCAAATATTTTACATGAAATTTCAATTCAGTCCAAAGAATGAGAAAGGAAGAAAGAAAGCTAACTGGAAAAAAAGCTTCAGTAGAACACCAGAAATGAACACGGCAGAGCAAAACACCAGGGGGCAGACCTGTGTCCAACAGGGAGATAGTTGCAGCCTCCATCTTTTCCTCCCCAGATCACGTTAATGACAATGCATATATTGTGGTAGATCAAGGGCACTAAAAATCGCCATCTCTTATGCTTCCCTGAATCTATTTTCACTATGGAGGTGCCCTCCCACCCCATCTCAGAGGTTGGCTGTATGATTTACTGTGGGCGGTGAGACAATAGTATACATGGTTTCTCTTTCTTTGGCAGACTCCTGTCAGTACCATGAGAACAAACCCAGCTGAACCTGCACAAAAGTAGGAGACCACATGGAGTAGAGCTGAAATGTCCCATCGAGCCATGGCCACTTTAACCTGGTCAGTGCCAACTAATCCACAAGTAGGCCACAGATACATGAGCAAACCTAGCCAAAATCAGCCAGGTCTGGCCCACATCAGAATTGCTCATTTGACTCAGGAGAAATAATAAATGGTTCTTGCATTAAGGCACTATATTGGGGAGTAGGGGGGGCTCAGTCACCTCATCACCAAGATGCAATATCTGACACCTACAACTTAAAGGAGAGCTTTATTTTGGCTTGTGGTTTTAGAGGATTTAGTCCTTGTGTGGTTGGCCAGCTCCAAGAGAGAAATGGCATGGTAGCAAGGCCTGGGCAGAGGAAAGTTGCTAGTGTCATGGCAGCACAGAAGCACAAAGAGAAAGGAAGAGCCAGGAAGGAAGATATGCATCTCCAGGTCATGCCCCCAGTGACCTACCTCTAACCAATAAGTGACTTCCTTCTAACCTCTCTTTCATAAATAAATAACCTCCTAATAGATGGCCAACTAAAATCTCATCAGTGGACTAATCCACTGCTGAGGATAGTGCCCCATGACCCAATCACCTCCCAAATACATGAAGTTTTGGGGGGACACACTGGAGCTAAACCAGAACTGAAAGAATTGCTTAAGCAGTGTGATACCTATAGTATTAGGTCAAATGAGAAAATGTAGCTGGAACACTCAGTATGTTGTACATAGCCAATGTTCAATAAATGTAAAAATGTCTTCCTCTTATTCCTACTTCTTAAGTCTCTGAGATTCCAGTCATAACCCCGATTTGGTTCACTTGGGGAAAAGACACCACTGACCTTGCTGAGAGGGGAAGAAATTAAGTTCAGACTTAGAGACACTCAGGTCACAAGAGCTTCAAGTCCATGCCATTTGTATTGAGCACTGCTGTATTATCTACCAGACCACTGCAGACACAAAAATTGGATCAAGCAACTAAAAGTGAATGGATCTCCACTCACTCACTGGCTTTGGCGTTGTATATCCCAAACCCCTTTTCATACTTACAACAAGAGGCTCTATTTTCCCTACTTAATATAATCAGATTACAGGCTCAGAAAGTTTAGGTAACTAATCCACACTCACATAACTGTGAAGAATATCAATTCACATCTGCCAAATTTCATTTTTCTCCCACACAGGATTGTTTGAGGAGTAGCATGGAAGAAAATAAGCAACAATAAATTTTTTAAAAAAATATTTATCCTTCATTGCCTCTGAGTAATGACCATTTAAATAGCCAATTATCACAAAAGTGGTGATACAAACCTCTAAATCGATTGAATCTGTACTCCTTATTCTATACGTTTATAGCATGTTCTTTTAATGGCCTTGTTCAAAAACTGGTGAGCCAAATGATGTAAGGTTTTAGTTACCTTCAGTCCCGAATCCAGGTTCCAACCTTCAAGGTAATAATGAATCTCAGGCAATTTATCTGGATCAATAGCTTATAATAAATAAATAACTCCTCCACTCCAGAAAACAGAATCTAACAAGAGCAGGTCTCTCATAAGCAGAGCTAGTCCCTCTCATTTTCAGCAGGGTTGTTAATGCTTTGTCCAATTAAACACCGAAACAGAGCCTCTGAATAATTTAAGCTGGATAAATGAAGAAAATAAATAAATTATACCTAGTCATGGAAACTTATTTTTTAAAAAATGAAACAGACTTTCTACAAGACCCAAATTTAATTCAACTAAATGTACTTAGCTCTAAAAAAAAAAAAAAAAAAAAAAAAACAGCTTGAAAATATGATCTGAAAAGATCAGAGCCATTCATTGTTTCTCTGTTCCATGCCGGCACATAACATTGGGTCTTCATGACCTGCGGGGGCCACTGGGTGTCACAGAATTTTCAACATTGCTTTCAGAAGTTTGGTGCTAGGATAGATGTTGCATTCTTTTGGTTTGTTTGTTTCTTGCTTGCTCATTTGTTCATTTGTTTTGCTTTTTTTGTTAAGTTTAAGCATTCTTTTCAGGAAAGAACAGGAAAATCTTGCTCAAAACCAAATCTAGTTCATGTTCGACACTGTTAACTCAGGGCCCAGTGTTTTATGTTAGGCATGGAAGAATTCCCTGAGCAAAACACAAAGATGTCATTAATTATAGCGAGTCATCACTCCAAACATTCTCTTGTACTTTCTTTAGATCTTCATACCCTGTGGTGTTTTTGTACAAAGAGCCATAAAACTCAGTGACAGTTCTCCCACTGGGAGACAGACTCTCTCAGGGAGTCTGAATAGCGTTAACCTGAGCACAGCTTCTGCAGATAGACTGTGGTAGTGGCGATGCTATATGACTTCTCAGACTAGATTATAAGAGCAATGCAGCTTCTGTCATCTTTGTTAGAAGCACAAAGAGAAAGGACGAGCCAGGAAGGAAGATATGCACTTCCAGGTCATGCCCCCAGTGACCTACCTCTAACCAATAAGTGACCTCCTTCTAACCCCTCTTTCATAAATAAATAACCCCCTAACAGCTGGCCAATTAAAATCTCATCGGTGGACTAATCCACTGCTGAGGGTAGTGCCCCATGACCCAATCACCTCCCAAATACATGAAGTTTTGGGGGGACACACTGGAGCTAAACCAGAACTGAAAGAATTGCTTAAGTAGTGTGATACCTATAGTATTAGGTCAAATGAGAAAATGTAGCTGGAACACTCAGTATGTTGTACATAGCCAATGTTCAATAAATATAAAAATGTCTTCCTCTTATTCCTACTTCTCAAGTCTCTGAAATTCCAGTCATAACCCCGATTTGGTTCACTTGGGGAAAAGACACCACTGAGCTCACTGAGGTCACTTATATTTAAAAATCTGAGCCACCGTTTAAGAAGTTCACCTACCTGAGGGAGGCTCATAGGCCATGTGGAAAGGCTACACAAAGATGTGATTGCCAGCCTAAGGCCAACGCTGAAGTCATCCCAGAACATCCAGATAATTCCATTTGGTAGGTGTGGATTCAATCCCCCCATCACACCCAGATGTTTGCATCTGCCTAGCTGAAGCCTTGGACATTATGAAACAAAGTCAAGCCATTTCTACCATGCCTTCCCCAAATTCCTGACCCCAGAACCTATGGGTGTAATCAAATGGTTGTTTATGCTACTGAGATTTGGGGTGGTTTTCAATGACTTAAGATTAATCAGGATATACTTATTTCCATGTTTCCTACAACTCAGACTGGGAACAGGGAAGCACATTGAGGTAAGTCATTTGTAACTAGCCTCACTTTCCAACTCAAAGTGGAGACGTGTAGAGGCCAAGAAAACAAATCAGTAGAGCTTAGTGGAAAGAGAATGCCTTCTAGAATCACACAGGCCTAGGTTCCAAACCAAGCCCTGCTGTTTTCTAACTATATTTGTCTCGAGAAAGCTGC